CTATCAGATGTTGATCCGTGTTGGAGTTGTGTTCGAGTTGAAGAATAAAGCTGTGTTCTTGCTGAATCACTCTCCGACTTCTTTGTTAAGCGAGCAACTTAACAGGAGGGACCTCAGCAGGGCATGATGCCATAGGGTCCACCCTCCAAAGCAACCAGTTTCTCCAGGGGACCTGATCTCTGAGGTCTGGAGATCAGTTATAATTCTGGGAGATCTCCAGGCCCCACCTGGATGTTGGCAGTCCTAATATATGCTATTACCTGTTGTCCCTAGAATGGGCCTTGTTCAGGTAAGCAAAGTGGAGAATATCCTAGCCTCTTACTCAAAGGGGACACGGGGACCAAATGAGATGCTGCAAGTCCCATGTGAGTCCACAGTTTTCCTTTTTGGGGGGGGGGCAGGAGGTACACACCATGGTACAAAGGGGTGAAGGAGTTTATGCTGAGACCAGACACAACACTGTGAGTTTTGTATATTTATCTCTGGGTAGTTTCTGTTTTAAAGAGATGACGCCTGGGAGCCTGATTCAGATGGGAGCTGGAGTACAGGGGGTGCAAGAGTTAATGCCAGCACCAGAAGACACCAACAGAGACCCACACATAGGACTTTCCATGTACGGAGTTTCCGGTGGGTTTTGTTTGTTTAAATAGGATATGCACAAGGTCCTGATTCGGATTTGGACCAGAGTACAGCAGGAAAGGGAGTTTAGGTCCCCCACACCCCAATGCTTCCCTGACCCAAAACAACCCCACTGACCTCCAGGATTCCAGATTTCCCATACAGCTGCAGCAAACTCCAGCCCTACTGGGATGCTTCAGGTTCAAAAAAGATAGCAAACGAGGAAAGCTTAACTCCACCTTGCACTACATTCCCAGTCCAAATCATCATTCCATGTCTATTTAAAAAGGGGGGTGGGGTGGAATTGGCTGCAAACTCCACACACAGAACTCCTACGTAAGTGTTCCACCTCAATTGCCCCTAAGTGTAACTTAAGGGATTCTGTTCCACATCACTCATTTGTCCACAGTTAATTAGCCAAAAAGTCATTGGTACAACCCATCAGCAGAAGGCTGGTCAATACATTAGGCAGCGTTTACGGAGTTGTTCAGCCTGACTTCATCACCACTGCCCTGTGTGGCTTGGTGGTAGAATAGTTGCTTTGCCAGCAGAAGGTCTCAGGTCGAGTCCAAAGCATCTTCAGTGAGAAGAATCTCAGGGAGCAGGGGCTGGGAATGATCTCTGCCTGAAAGCTTGGAGGGCTAATTTAATTCACAGGATAAAGGAGTGGGCTAGATCAGGGGTCCCCAATCTTCTAGAGCCCATGGACAGTTTTGGAATTCTGACACAGGGAGGTGGGCACAACCTCAAAATGGCTGCCACAAGAGGTGGAGCCAACCACAAAATAGCTGCCAAAGGAGGCAGAGCCAAACAGACAGAGGAAACCCAATCGCAAGGGAGAAGAGGGGTGATTTAAAATATACACTGGAGAACAGGAGTGAGAGAGAATTAAGAAAAACTTTGGGGGCAGCTGCTGCCCAAAAATTATTATTTTAATCCGCATAGCCGATTTGATTTTCAGTGGCCAATCAGGAATTCTGCTCGGCCAGAGCCCCAGTCTAGGCCCACCCACCTTCTCAAAACATGGGCACCATTTTGGGGACCCCTGAGTTAGATGCTCTGGTTTGGAGAAATGCAGCTCTGTAGGTTCCCTCTTCTCTTTGACCTTTGATCTGACTTCTCAGTGGACCATTCCAGGAGAGTGGTCCCAGCCGCTTTGGCTGTCTGTTAGCGCAGTCTGGATGAAGACTCAGAGCTCTGTCTCCTTAAGCTTCTTATTTCTCAAGTTAAATGGCTTTAAGTATTGCCTAGAGGCTTGGGGCTTTCTAATGACCCCTACGTGGAGCAAATCAGTGAAGCAGTTATCGAATTGTACTACAGGAACAGGCTTACAACTGACAAAGGCAGCTGTTCATGCTAGTCGCTACTGAGCTAGATCAATGTGCATACTGCTCTTCGCTTCGAGCTCTTTGCTTCCCAGAGGTCTCCGCCACAGGCAACTTAAGTAAAGCTGCCGTTCTGCTTTTCCTTTTAAGCGGCACTGCTCATTGGCAGCTTCCAACGTTAATGTTTACATGACTTCAGCCCTTAAAAAAGAAATGCAGAAAGCAGCAATGCAAAAAAAGTCAGACAGAAGTCAAAACACTGGGATTTTTGCACAGCTGCATTACTGCTCTACCAAGGCATGTGCTGTGCCATCATGTCACGACCAACTGATGTTGACCTCAACAAGGGGCTTTCAAGGCAAGAGAAAAGCAGAAGTGGGTTGCCATTGTTTTCCTCTGCAGAGTCTCCTTTGGTGATCTCCCATCGAAGTACCAACCATGCTTATCTCCTGAGATTTGATGAGATCAGGCTATACTGGCCAGGGACCTGCATATCTTCAAGACCACCTCTCCCCTTATGAGCCCCGTAGAACATTGCGTTCTATGAACCAGCATCTCCTGGTAATCCCTGGTCCTCGGGATGTCTGCCTTGCCTCAACTAGGGCCAGGGCTTTTTGGACTTGGCCCCCACCTGGTGGAATGAGCTACTTTATTAGATCAGGGCCCTGTGGGACCTGTTACAGTTCCACAGGGCCTGCAAGATGGAGCTCTTCTGTCGGGCTTTTAGTTGAGGCAGTGGGCATCCATTTCGATCTGCCCCCCCCCCCCATCAGTGACCGCAGATCCTAGAAGTTGACGGGAACTATAACATTGCTGGAATTAATATCATCTATTGAGGCACACTGTATGTTTTTAGCATTTTACTGATTTTAATGGTTTAATTAATGCTGTATTGATGAATATGTTTTAATTGTAAATCTGCATTATTGCAGACTAGGAATAAAGCCCATTGTGGAAATAAATGCAATGAGCTCTAGAAAGAGGCTCTAGGAGAGTGCCAAGGCCTTGGACACTCAGCGTCAATGTGCTGTGGCGACCTCAGCAGGGTATAATGACACAGAGTCCACCATGTTCTCCGAGGAACTGATCTCTTCTACCTGAAGAGCAGTTGTAATTTTCAGTGATCTCCAACCCTCACCTGGAGATTGGCAACAATGGTCTACCAGGAGGAAACGTAGTCTTTCTCTGCAATGGGGACCAAAGCAGCTGACATCATTCTCCTCTCCCCCTTTTGACTTGCACAACAACCCTGTGAGGTAGATTAGGCTGAAAGTTTGTGACTGGTCCAAAATCACCCACTCAGCTTCTACAGCAAGAACCTGGATCTAGCACACCCTGCTCTGAAGCACTGACTGCTACGTCTAGGGCAGCCAACCTCCAGGTGGAGCCTGAAGATCACCAGGTATCACAATTGAACTCCAGAAACCAAGCTTGGTTGCCTACCATGGCAAAACGGGCTCCAGTTTACAACTCAACTGTTTGCCTCCCACCCTCGTCCTGTAGGCGTATCTCACTCCTTAAATTTGCTGCCACCGCTCATGGAATTGTCACTGCCTTTTTAGAGGGACAGTGAGACCCTTCTGGCCGAATCTCCCTATTTGGAGATGGAATCCCCAATCTTTGGGGGATCCCTGGAAAGTTGGCAACCCAAGGATCTGGCCTTTCCTTGCTTTCCTGGGCTACCTTCTTTCTTTGGTATTGTGCCGAGCAGGGGAGAATATGTGGTCAGAGCACAACACAGATTATTAGCCCGAATAAAAGAATTTATTTAACAATTGACATAGTTATGGAGCACACACACACTGTAGGTAAGTAAGCACACACTATGAACCAACAGAACATAAATCAACAGGGGTTAAATGTAATCCTCCTCTACCTCTGGAGGTTTTGGGCTCAGGATAGGATTATTCCTTGGACCGGCCTCTGGCTGTACTTCAGCCTCTCTCTCTTGCCCAAGACAGCAGGGAAACTTCCATTCATTCCCCAGTCCAGCCGACTGTGGGGTGGCTGAATTTCTGCTGCCTCCCAGGGACAAAGACTGCCTTGGGACAGTCCCTGTTTTCCCGCACTTTTTGGCCTTGGGGCAGCTGGGAACTATAGGCCAGCAGATGAGGAAGCCCCATTCAACCCAGTGAGTGATACCCCTGCAGGCCCCTCTCTGGAACTACAGCTCAATTAAACCTTATGGGGGAACATTTTGAACAAAGAACCACAGCCATCTTACAAACACAGGTAACTGCCATTTTGTGACACCTACCAACAGCCACTGAGGGAACAACTAGTCCCACACAGGAGGCAAGTAGGAAAAGCATCTTCGTCAAGAGAGAAAGCCATTTGCCAGTAATTCTGACAGGGCACAGTGGCTGAAGGGGAAGTGGGGAGGGAAGAGGAGCAGACCCAGCACCCGGCCAATGGCACGCGAGTACTCTTGAGTGGCGGCTTATGGGCCAATGGCTGAGGGAGTGCAAGGAATGTTGCCACTCCAAAACAGAATTATTATAGAGAGAGATCTGTATGCCTGCAACCTGCCCTGAGCCTGCTATGTGGGGAGGGTGGGATACAAATCCAATAAAATAAATAAATAATTTTTTTAAAAATACCATGGACTTATGGCTACCCTAACCAAGGGCTGTCACATCAAGTGAGAAGCGGGGGTGGTTTGCCATTGCTTTCCTCTGCAGAGCCTTCCTTAGTGGCCTCCCATCCAACTTCTGATATCTGATGAGATCAGGCTATGACATGGACTTATGGTGACCCCAGCAGGGGGCTTTCAAGGCAAGTGAGAAGCAATCTGCCATTGCCTTCCTCTGCAGAGCCTTCCTTGGTGGTCCCCCATCCAAGTCGGTACCTTGCTTAGCTTCCAAGATCTGACAAGCTCAGGATGTACCATACTTCCTTCCTTCCAGTTACCACCTTAATCCTCGGGGAAAGGAACGTATACTGCTTGGCAAATCAACCTTGTTCTATTTCAGACTTGTCCCAGATCACTGGTTTTTCCCATCAGAAGGAAGATAGTTTTTTCTAAAGAGTGATGCTGGCAATGAGAGCTCCTCCTACCTGCACACTTGGTCCTGCTGATGAGCGGAGGCCCAGGTCTGCCCGTCCCCCCATCCCCTGGTCGGGTGAGCAGGACGCTGATCTCATACTCGGTGTCAGGATCCAGGTGCCACAGCTTGTAGGTCTGCATGTTCACAGCGTGCACTTCTGACCACGGGCCCGAGGTCATGCGGTACTCGATTTCTTTCCTTACAATGGGACCATCCCCGATTATGGAGTTGGTGTTGAGCTGGATGATCAGGTAGGTAGAACCGGCTCTTAGCAGCTGCGGGGGTGCGATGGGGGTGGGAGGCTCTGTTAAGAAGGAGGGACATATGGTTAGTGGGCCACAACTTGCTTTCTTTCTGGACCAGGGGTCCCCAACATAGCACCCATGGGCACCATGGCACCCACTGACACCTTTCCTGGTGCCCACAGGTGCCTACTAAGTGTTTTTTAGAAAGTATGTGAGGCTTCTGATTGGCTATGCATTACTGCATTACTGAAAGTCAGCTGTGTGAATGCAAGAAAATATTTTTATATTTTAAAGGTATCTGCCTGAAATGTTGTCAAGTTATTATGAGAGTTGTTCTCTGACATTTTGTGGTTGGCTCTACTTCCTGCTGTCGCCATTTTCTGGTTGTGCCCACCACCCTGGATCATAATAACAAAAGGGCCCTCAGGCTGTAAAAGGTTGGGGACCCCTGTTCTAGACTCTTAGGGTCAAAACATAGCAGATACCAGAACAGATACCATCTTACAGGTGTGTTTAAAAGCTACATTTCAGGAGTGTACGACCCCAGCTGCACAAGGGGAGGAGAAAGGATTTAATGATTCCATCTACCAAAACTGGCTTCCCTGTATCCCAATCACAATGCAATCCTAAGCAGAGTTACACCATTCTAAGTTAGTTGAAGTCAATAGGCTTAGAAGGATAAAACTCTGTATAGGACTGCACTTTTGTCTGCCTCAAAGAGAACTAAAAGATAGATGTCCACCTTTGCTTCCTTCTGAAGCTAACGGGAGTGCAGGGAGACCAATATCAATGGGCAAAATGGTATGGAGACAATAGGGCTAAACCCTTGCTTCCCCTCCTCGGATGTCCGTTACCAAATTGGAAACCTTGTGCGGCAGAAATTTAGCTTTTGATGATTCTACAATCATGAGAGTAGACACCAAACAAAGTCAAGTGGCCATCAGAAGATTTGCTTCCTGAAGATTAGGATTCTCCTGCACAAGAAATCCAGTCATAATATTGGATTCTCCTGAAAATTACAGCTATCCTCACACATATATCTGTGTCACAGCTGACTTAGGGCTATCCCAACACAGGTTCCAAAGCAAATGATTAAGCAGAGGCGGTTTGCCATTGCCTTCCTCTGCACAGTCTCCCTTCAGAGCCGCCCATTCAAGTACCGATCCTGCTTAGCTTCCAAGATCTGAAGAGATCAGGCTATACCACACCACACCACTCCACATCCCATTCTCTCACATACTAATTCCTTATCAACACCAGAGAGGCAAATCAGGATCCTTCCCAGGCCCAAGCCTTTCAGCCATACTGCAGTGCAGACACTACGTAAAGCTGCTGCAGTGTTTCATCAGAAATAATTAAGGCTCTGGTGACATCTGTCAAAATACCTGAAAAAAGTACTAGGTGACAAGCGTTACCCGTGCTATTTTTCTCCCCTTCTCTGTTTATGTTCATTGACTCACAAAAACCACTCCTCCCTGATAATTAGCAAGTGTTCTGGCACTTTGGGACCAGAGAGACACTAAACCCTCATACCTGTCGGTTCCCAGATTCAAATCACCTTTCTCCATGCTTTAGTTCTGTAATGCATCACAGGACTTGGTTTGTCCACTGTGTGCAATGTTTGACTTCCATGATCAAAACTATTACCCACATGTAGCTGGGCTCTTGCAAAACCACCTTGCTGTTTAGAGAAAAACAGCTTGGCACTCAATTCCTTCAGCCCTACCTCTCCCTCTCCCGGAATGATAGTCATCCAATCAGCCTCAAGCATCGCCTCATACCTTTCACAATCAATTCAGCAAAGTTGGAGACGCCAGCACCCCTGCTGGATTGGGTAACGCAGCGGTAAAAATCCTGCTCCTGCTTGGAAACCTTGTCCAACTGAAAGGTCGCCAAGAATCTCCGGTGGCTGATGTGTTTCACGGAGGCAGCCGGTACAATCGCTCCATTCTGCCTCTGCCATTTGGAAAGCCAAAGGAGAAAAAGAGATTGAAAGGTAGCTGGCATCCCCTTTTCCCATCTTCGCCCCTTGCCCCCTTGCGCCTTTCCAGTTTGGGGTCCAGTACTGCATCCCTGTAGGACCAAATTTGGCACAAGGGGGTCTGTCATTCCTGTTTCTGCCCCAGTTGCTGTCAGCTATGCTGCCATGGGGGTTGGGGAGTTCATTCTGTGTCTTGCTAATTACTATTGCATTCCTGTCTCTGCTGTTTTGCTTGTGCCACAATGCTTATCTCTACAGATGTGCAGGAGGTTGTTATGTTGGAAGTTGTATTGTCTGGAAGTCTCCTATTCACCGTGAGAGACTATTGCTTCCCAGCTGTCGCCATCTAACGGTTTTCTTGCTGGTCCCCCGTGCAGGAGGATTCCAAATTGGCCCATGCCATGGGGGGGGGGTGCATATGAATACCCTATATCCTATTATGCTCAATGGGTTGCCGCCATTCTCAACAGTGTCTATGTTACTGCATCTATAGCTTTGCAATAAATGTATAACCATTCCTGAATGCGTGCACTTCGTTGTGAGCTGTGGGTCCTGACATTTGCATATAAAACAAGAATGGAAGTTTTGCTTTAACAGTGCTGGAAAGCACCATCAAGTTGCAAACAACTTATGGAGATCCCTTAGGGTTTTCAAGGCAAGAGATGAACAGAGGTAGTTTGCCAGTGCCTGATTTTGTGTAGCAACCCTGGACTTCCTTGGTGGCCGCCCATCCAAGTACTAACCATGGCCGACCCTGCTTAGTTTCTGAGATCTAGCTAGCTTTGGCCATCCAGGTCAAGAGAGCAGAACTCAGCCCCAGATGCCTCAACAGCAGTACCACCAACAAAGCACCGGGGCAAGGTCTACGATTTGGAGAGTCAGGGCACCATTTTCACAGATGCCTTACAAGGCATTGGGAAGTGCAGACAGGAAACCATCATTTCTTCAAGAAGATGGTGCTCCCAGCTGTCTATGGGGACAAGGATGCTGGAGATGACTGACAGGAGGTTTCCAGAAGAGCCTGTTTAGAACTCCTCCGCTTTACCCAATTTCTACAGCTCCATGTCTCCATACAGAACCCTAGACGATCACTCTCTTTAGGTGTTTTTTCCACAGAAGAAGCCAAATCCTCGCAAGACAATTTGCATGGGTGAGGGAAACAGTCATACCAAAGCTGGAAGGATCCAGCCCCAACGCGGAAGAAGTTGGCAATTCCTGCTTAATTATCCCCTGTACTTTGTCATGTTCATGTTCATATTAGCTCAAGCAGCTCCAGTTTGGTGCCTACAGACACCATGATGTTCAGCACCACCTTCTCTGGCACCCACCAAGTGTTTTTAGAAAGTGGCCAGGGCTGATTGGCTACTGGAGACTTTATTGGCTGCACAGATTCTTAGAAATGTTGCTTTAGTAGCAGCTGCCACCACAGCACAAGTATCTTCTGTGACTGAAGACAAGCTGTGGCAGCCATTTTGTAGCTGTGCCCGCCATACTATGTGAGAACTGTAAAGGTACCCACAGACAGACTGCGGACCACACAATTAGCTAAAAAGGGAATCTTCTAAAAAAATTTAAAAACCAGGAATTGTGGTATTCTAAAACCAAGTTCCCATCATGCCATGCCACAGTCTCATAAATACTAGTTTTATTGATACTTAACATGTTTAAAGCTAAAATATATCTACCGTTTGGATACAGCAAACTGCTGGCATTACCAAGCCAAAAGGGCAGATATATTACAAGTATTTTGGAATCACCCCATAATTGACCCCTTTTGGGAACACTTCTGGGTAATTAAGAGGATGATAGGTTATGAAATGCCAACAAAGCCCAAGGTGGTGCTGTTCCACTTTTAAATTAATTGTCTCGGGGTTAACGATACAGAATTGGTTACAGCTCTCATAACAGCAGAGAAAATGTTCACCACTGCAGAGTGGAGATCTGTTAATCCACCACTGAAGATGGATTAGTATAGGAGATTCAGTATGTAGTCGTCTTAATGAAATTGACTTATTCCAAGAGGGAAGGAGCCTGATTTTCTTTTAAAGAAATCTTAGGTAGGGCACAGCTGTGTTCCAAGTGGGATGGTGAAACTACTGGCCTTGCCCTGGCTAAAGCTCAGGTGGCTGATGCTTCCTCCAAAAGACAAGCCTTTGTAGTTTAAAGGGAAGCCATAATCCCAGAGTCAATTAATTTTAAAAGACAGGTGATTGTATCAATGTTCTTAGCGGGGCGGTATATCCACTGGTCCCTACTGGCCCTTAGACCTTTCAAGAAATGATGTGTCAGAAGGAACAGGTTGAGGGCACGATCCAAATCGCAAGAACCCAAACCACAGGGACCTGGCTGGTGGACCCTGAGGAATAATCCCGGTAATCTTTGACTTACCTGCATGAGAAACCTCTCTGCTTCGGAGGCCTTCCCAGCAGCTACACATTGAAAAGTAGCATTCTGACCCGCGTTCACTTCCACGTCACCCAGGCGGGAAAAATGAGGTGCTTTGGCTGCCAGAACAGGGAGAGAGGAGGGAATCAATCCTTAGTCATCCCTGAACTAGCACTTCTTTGTTACTCTTCTCTTAATCATACTCAATAGGATATATCTTTCTTGGGGAGGGGGGATCTGGCCCCCAGGCTTTTACCTGAGAGCCCAAATCTTCTCCAGTTCAATGGGCCAGACGGGACTGGCTGGACACCAAGTCTCAGTGGGCAAGAGAAAAAGACACAAGCTTGCACTAAATTCTATTTTATTGATCCTTAAGCGGATTAACAGAAAAGCTTAGAGCATTTACCAAAAGGGTAGCGTACACAATTACCCAAATAGGGAAGACATATCTCTCAAATGGGAGGCAGTGTCATACCTTGAAATGTCACCAATATGTATACATTTTTGCAATCAATAGAATGCAGGGTGGACAATAATACAAACATAACAATAACTAGGCCCTTCCCTATAATGGCATCATGAACTTTACCCATCTCAGGGTTATCTAGCAGGTCAAGAGTCCTTAAACAGAGCAGGAGACATACATGACCTTAATCTATATACATTTTGTCTTGAAGATGGTACGCTTTGGCTCAGGGAATGTAAACTATGTATGAAACAGAATTCAGCTCCCAGACACTGCCTGTGTTTCAGGAGACAACATTAACCATGCCACAATGCTTTCTGGGATCTACTCTTGCTGTATTCTATTCAATGTACCTTATACATAAATGTCAAAGGCTCCCTAAGCATCCAATTCTGCCACAATCTTAATGGTGCACCCATTGTCCAACCATTCCTCCAAGGAGCTCAGGGCACCAAATACGGCTTTCCCTTCCCCATGCTGTCCACATGTGCAGGCTATATGCTCACATGCTCCATTCAGGCAATTTAATGAATGTGCAGGGAATGGGATCCATCAAGCATGATCACCATACCCCCAAAACGTATGAACACCCTCAATGTAGGGTTGCCAGGCTGCAGTTGGTAACCACCAGGAAAAATTGAGGAGTGGAGAATGGTGTGACAGCACTGAGCCAGCATACTTACTTCACTTCAAGTCAAAACTGGAAACCATAGAGTTTTTGCAAAATGCTAGAGTGTTCCCTGTATCAGCTAGTTTTAATTGGAAGTGACATAAGTGCAATTCTCTCTCACTCAATGGCAGTCTTTAAGCAGTGGCTGGACAAACACTTGTCAGGGATGCTTTAGGCTGATCTTGCATTGAGCAAGGGCCTGGACTAGATGGCTTGTATGGCCCCTTCCAACTCTATGATTGTCTTATTCCATGCACCAGCAGGATGCCATCACACATTCTCTCCCCCCCCCCCACATTTCCTTCTGCCAGAAACCAAGGAGCTAACAGGCAACAAAAGGGATTTCCAGGAGGCTTCCTGCTATAGTATCCCTAACTCTATGGGTTGACTGTGTCCAATGAACTACTGTATAAAAAGAGTTGACTTTGTACCTTTGTAAGTATCAGAAATCGTTGCCAATAAAATTTGACTTTCTTGAATATTACCAAGTTTCCAAGGGGCTACCAAGGTCAATGACTCAATTTAAGATCCTCTCGATTTGGTCTCCACACATCCATATACTAATCATTCTCTTGTCTATAATTAAGACACTATTCCCCATTATAAATCACTAGGGCTGCTTGCTAATTAAAGGTGGTTTATTTTAGCTGATCAATCATCCAGCTTTTTTAATTGATGAAACTGAAATAAATCTACATGTTACCAAAGCCCCTTTTTGTAGATAGTGAAGGATGTCGGGAAGCTAACTTGTCAATTAACAAAAAGCTAGCACTCTCCGTGACAAGGACAGATTGTCTTTAATATTGTTTAGCAAGCCTATGGGCAGACACCCATGTATTTTTGTTTACAGGCATCGCTTCAGATAGTTGAGGTACTTTTATAAATAATAAATGGGGATGGCAAAAACATCTTATTGTTCATTCCTTATTAAAGTAACTCGACAAAGCCAAAATGGCTGCCAGAATCAGCAACCAGACGAGCGACAGTTGGGGAAAGACTCTCTGTCATCTGTCATGCGTTGGCTTGGTTCCTGCATTTCCACACACACAAAGGGAGGGAAGTTCTTTGCCACCATCCCCCCACAACAGCCTAGCCCCCGCCCTACCCTCAAAATGGTGCTCCAGGGAGATGAGGGACTCCCAGGAATAGTCTCCCTCAGGAAAGCTGATTAGGTAAATACCAGCCTCCATTTTGCCTACAAAAATTCTAGGCTGGATCCAAGCCACTGCATACAGACATGATTCTGTAGCCAGACAATTTGCCCAGATGAAGCACTCAGTGGCTGCGGTCACACACACTAAATAATCCACTTTCCGTCTACATTCAGGGCACTCTCCAACTGGATTTTCACTGTGTGAACTGGCAAGATCCAGTTGGAAAGTGCATTGAAAGTGGACTGAATGTGGATTATTTAGTGTATGTGACTGCAGCCAGTGTGTCACCCCAGGCAGAAAGGTACCAAGGACTTCCAGAAACTCAAAGATAAGATCCACGGCTCAAATTGTCTGGGAGCCCTAGTAAGTCAGGAGATGCACTGATATTCGGCCTGCTCACAATTGCAGTGTTGAGATACATAATCTTGTACCTGGTACAGCAGTTGAAGTCCTCACTAGTGACAAGGCAAGTCCCTGTGGTTCACTTTGGAACTGGCTCAGAGATCTCTTGTCACTAAGTCTATAGATACAGGGTTGTATCTGATAAGGCTCAAAAATGAGTAGCAAGGTATCTTTCTCTAGTTCTGTTTGATCTCTTCCCAATCCCCCCCACACACACACACACAGTTCTGGCTGACTAACATGTCCCTGCTCCTTTCAGTCCCCTTCCTCATCCCTTTCTATTTATGGTGTTAACTATATTGAGTCTCCTCCAAGGAGGTCAGGACCGCATAGAATGTCATAGACGGTTCTCCCCTCCTCCATATTCACCTCACAACAGCCCAGCATGGAAGCCACTGCACTGTAGTGTTGGACTGAGATCTGGGGGACCCTGGTTCAAATCCCCATGCTGCCATGGCAACTTGCTGACCTTGGGCCATTCACATACACACAGCCTGACCTACCCTCACAGGGTTGTTATGAGGATAAAATGGAGGAGAGGAGAGCAATGTAAGTGAATTTGAGTGCCCACTGAGGGGGAAGGTGGGGTATAAATGAAGTAAATAAATTAATTTAATTAACTGTGTGAAATAGACTAGGCTTTAGAAAGACTACGGCCCCTGCCACACGGCAGGGGAAAAGCCTCTTAAGGCGCGGCTTTTAAAAGCCGCGCCAACATTGAGGCGCCGCGGCGGGATCCCATGGATCCCCTGGCCGCGGCGCCTTTTCTCCCCGGCGCGATCAAACGCCGGGGAGAAAACACGGCCCGAACGGGAGCCGGCCGAACTGCGCATGTCCGGGCATGCGCAGTTCGGATCCGGGCCGGGGTTGAGCCGGCGCAAGGAAGCGCCGGCGATCAAACGCCCCGGTTGCCGCGCTGCTTCCCTTTAAACCACCTAGGTAGGTGGTTCAGTTTGTGGCGGCGTTTCCTGGGAATGGGACAGTTCAGCCACGGAAGCAAGACGCTTCCAAAATGCTGTGGTGTGATCGCGCCGGTTTGATCCGGCCCCGAACTGTCCCGCTCCCGGACCAAATCGCCGCGTGTGAACGGGACCTGATACTGGTCCCAGGTGGCACAGTCAGCCTTGTGGCTAGATGCAGTTTTGAACGCTGGCCTATACAAGTTCTAGACTGACAGCTTTACCCTGCCAGCACTCCCACGCCTTGCTAAATAATTCCATGTTGTTTGAAAACTGGTACCTCTGAGGCTTAACTGTGCCAAACAGGCAAGCTTCTGCAAATGTGCTTCATTTGTAGGATTCTCCTCCTATGACACAATTCAGGTTTGCTTGATTCCCCCCCCCCCCCTTGAGATGCAGAAGATCGGTATTTTTCTGTATGAGCACCCTCAACCTGCTTTTCTCTGCCTGAGGCAGACTCACAGTAGCTTACAATGTCAAAAGATAACAACAGAAAATGATCCACTACCAGATACACCACAAACCCAGATTACTTAACACCCCCCAAAAAAAACCCAGACTTTCTTTGGATGGAATCTGTTATAACAAATGATGTGTGTTTCAGTATTTAATTCAAATAATGTCCACAACAGACTAATCCACAGGGTGGGGAGGAGGCCAAGCAGGTGGTCACAGTTCTACTCTTGATGACAACAGCCTTTTCTTGGGCTCTTCCTTCCTTCCCAGGGCCAACCACACTTCCATGGGCAGGAGGAAGATGCAGATAGGGTTGCCAGCTTCAGGTTAGGAAATTCCTTAAGATTTGGGGGCAGATCTCAGGAAGGTAGAGTTTGGAGAGGGAGAGAATCTCAGTAGGATATAATGTCATAGAGTCCACCCTCCAAATCAGCCATTTTCTCCAGGGGAACTGATCTCTGTAGTGTAGGAAACTCCAGGCTCCACCTGGAGGCTGGCAACCCCAGGGGCAGAGCAGGTAGACATGCTAGTCATGAGACAACTCTCTCCCAGTGTACTTGTTAGTTTATTTATCTATTAGATTTTTTTAGTCACCACTCACCCAAAGGGTCTTGTGGCAGCTTACAACACTAAATAATATAATAATAAATATGTTAAAAGCTAACCAAAATTAGATAATGCATATAAAATAGTAAGATATATGACTCAGTACTATACCACTATCAAATCAGCCTCGAATCTGGGCTTTAGCGCCTAGCAGATACAAACACACACACACCCTCCGACATCATTAGGATTTCCTACTTTCCCACTGCATGAGGGGAGACTTCCCCTCCCCCTTTAGCCTGTTCCTAATGGGAGGCCATTAATGCTGTCAAGGGCCAACTGACAGAGTCCTGTCAAGCAGCTCATTAAAAGAACTGGCAGCTGACAGCACAAGGGAGCTGTGACAAGTCGGTAGCCTCTGTCAGGAGGGCGTCGGAGATGGGAGGACCGTGTAATACTTACAGCAGGGATAATTTAAGAGCAGGATATCATCCAATCCTAGGTAACCTCTGCGTTCGCTGGAGATCACAGCCTCAAACAGAACCTGTGGAGGAGTCAAGCATGGTCTTTGTCAAGGCATTCTAACACCGGGGATTTTGGGGTGGGTTTCGAGTGAGGTAACTTGGCACACCAGCAAACTCATATGGAGATCCTGTAATGTAAACAGACTAAAGAACGCCGTATTAAAAACAAGCCAGAGACTGAGAAATTAGGATGCTATACAAGCCCTTATCACAAGTATCAATCCCTTTATTCCACTTCCCTCCATGAAAAAGTTCACATTCCTTCTTTCTGATTTTATCTGTGCAACCCTGTTATGGGTGTTAGGCTGAGAGGCAGTCAGTAGCTTAAATTCACCCTATTAAACCTGATAGGTTTCCTTCATACTGTGAATTAGGAGGAGGCCCTATCTTTGATTCCCCTTGGACACTCAATAGTGAAAATCTCTCAGAAAGCAGAAATAAGGTTTGGAAAGGTATGAAGCCAGAGCCAAATTACACATTCCCCAAATGTACAATTCAGCTGCAAAAAAAGAAGATTGGGAGGGTGGGGATGAGTTGATCCGAATTGGGGTCATGAAGCCAAGGAAGGTAGGTAAGTTCGTTTGGAGTCCGCCCAGAAGGGTGAACGCATTCTGAAGATACTGCTGATCAGTTGGCCAATGGAGCCTTACCCACCAGAGAGCTGTGAAGCAGGGACAGAGAGAAGGTGCAGCCACAGAAAAATGTCCAAGGGTTGGGTGAGAAGGAGAAAAATATTTTGAGAAATAAATTAAGCAAAATATATGTATTTATTACAAAGTGCACTAAAACGATCCTTTAAAACCCTTGGCACAATCTGTACCAATGTAGGACACACTCCTCACTTCTGATGAAGTGGGCTGTCATTTACAAAAGCTTCAGATGACAATAAATCTTCAGTAAGTAAATCAGTATGATAAGGTACCCTTGTACCTTTAGCTAGCAGAAAAGCAGGGGCTAATTTATTATATAGTAGATGAGAAGTACTGGGATCACTCAGATTCATTTTTGCTGACATATTTTCTAAAAAAGATTGTGTCATTTGTCTCATGACATGAAGCTTAATGTCTACAATAGCAAAATGGCATTTACAGACGGGTATTTGATGTCCCACTAATACAACAACAACCCACAGCCTCAACGGTGTTTAAAATATAATTACATCTAATTGGGGGGAGAGGAGTTCTAATTTCTGTTCCACATATGTTACCACTAAGTCAGATTAACACTCCATCACCATGCATGTAAGGGGGGAAGCATCCTTCTACCACTTTGATAGATGCAGGGAGGGCAGGATACAAATCCAATTAAATAAATAAATAAATAAATAAAATAGATCATGAGGAAATTAGCCCTCCACCCCCCGCTTCTATTCATAACACTAACAAGGGTTTGCTGCTATACTACTATTAGATACTTCTAAATTGCCGAACCAGGAGAAAGATGAAGAACTGGGAGTAAGGCTGAGAAATAGGGGGGAGATTAGAAAGGGGGAGACAGAAATGAAGGCATATCATGAAAGGAAGAGAGCAAAATTGAGAAACTGTGGAAAAGAGGAACAGATATTAAGAAAAGAGGAAAGGGTATGTTATTTTCTATAACACACTAACAGGAAAAATTAGTGGTGGCTTGGTTGATGAGTTTAGTGGAATATGGAAATATTTGCCTGCTTGAACTAATCTTAGCAGAAATGCACCCTAAGCCCAAAGCAGAGCAACTGCTATTTACTGTGCTCGTCCTTCCATGCGCCCCTAGTGGCTGCAGTGCAGAAAACTGCATTACAATTTTTTGAAAAGTAAATGCATTCCGTAATTGCAGCATGATGCTGGCTTCAGGGGCCCTCCAGCTAACTTGGGCCTCCCAAATTTTGCCCCCTCAGCCTCCCCTCTCAGCAGCCTGGTTACCTACATACTGTGCCTGTCTTCGTTTCCTCCTCAAGTGTGCCATCAAGTCTCAACTGACTCATGGCAACCCCATAAAGTCCTACCACTGCCATTGCCTTTCTCTGCATAGCAGTCCTTGAAGGTCTCCCATGCAAGTACTAACTGTAGCTGGCCTTGCTTAGATTCCAAGATTTGATGGGATCAGGCTAGGCTGGGTTATACAGGCTGCTTTTTCCCATCTTCCAAGATTACAAGCCTCCTTGGGGGGGGGGCATGGGAGGCAAGTTAAACCCCCTTCCCAAGTGCAGCAGCATTAATCCATCTCTACCTCCACACACATCACAGCTGGTTTTTGCAGCTAAATCAGACATCTGGAAATCTCATCACCGTTCTCCATAGTCACATATAGTCTATCCCAGCAAAACTGAATCTTCCAAAAAGGAATTCGGATTTTCTTTGGTTAAAGGGGAAATTGGGGGCACTGGGGGGAACTGTCACCATGGAGTCTGATGTATTATTTCTTGTTTTTATTTTTCCCACCCCACATCTCAGCCTGCAACAACTTGAAACCTAATTCTTCTTTGCCTGCCAGAAGATCCACCATATATTGGCATGACACAATCTTAAAATCATGACCTGAAAAATCTGTTTTTCCTCTTTTTTATTTTATAACATATGTTCAGATGAAGAGTTCAAGTTCAAAAGCCTGCACATTGTTAAGTATCACTGGATTGGCCCTAATAAAAGGTATTGCATGGCTTGTGTTCATGGCTTCTAAGAGAATGGTAACAGCATTTCAAATTACAAGTTGGCTTCCACTGAAAATAGGCGAACCATAATTCTCAGCACAGTTCTGAAGTCTACTCCAAATACCCCTTCTCTTGTACAAGGAAGAGCCCAACAATAGACTCATCTGTTCACTTCTTAGATTTGTGCTGTCCTGCCTCTCACACATATTCTTCCTTCTCCTCCCACTTTGGTACTCCCCCCCCTCCACTGCCTCTGGCTATCAGACTCACAGGAACACATGGAGCTTTCTTATGCTGAATTAGATCATCGGTCCATCAAGGTCAATATTGTCTATGCAGACTGGCAGCAGCTCTCCAGGGACTTAGCTAGAGGTCTTTCACATCACTTACTGCCTGGTCCGTGGAAATGCTGGGGATTGAATCCGGAACCTTCTGCATGCCAAGCAGATGTTCTACCACTGAGACACAGCCACAGGCACTCCCAAAATTTTTGTTTTCAGAGCCTTCATTTCCCCAGTGCTATTTCATAAGCTTCTGCTAGCTTTCCTCTGTATGCTCACCTGATACTCATTGGGCCAAAACATGCTGACAGCCAGTTCCACTTGGTGCCACTGGCGTCCGTGGGAGCCAGAAACATTCCACACCACACTGCCCAGTGGACCACCATTCACCTTCACGTAGACATTCAGAGTCCCAGGGCTGTGCCCATCACGGCTGTACATGAAGTAGCTGAATTGGAGACAATGGGTGTCATTCTCACTTAGCGTCTGGAAGAGGATGTGAGCTTTCTGCCCCTGAGCATGCTGGGAGGAGTTGACCATCAGGTAGGATCCTACGACAGGAAAGAAGAACACAGAAGCTCAGAGTTGGATCCAGTGATGTATGAGCAGAAAGGGAAATATATGTAGCACAGTTCTACTTCCAAAAGGGGAAATACAATGGCCACAGCAACACATAGCATTTCAGTGTAATTTTTAATCATGGGCATATGAAGTAATTTTAGTACTTCTACTTCCAAGGATCATTGTGCACACAGAAATCTTCTACGGGGTCCAGCCCTCAGCTCAGACGTCACATGGAAATACGATTTCATGAATGTAACCTTTTTACAGTAAGAGTATTTGTCCAAAATCAGGCTGTCCCACCATTTTTGGTTCATTATAGTCTGATAGGACATTGATAGCTTCTGCTCTGATCTGTAATGTTCAGCCTGAAGCACACAACTCATTTGTAGGGTCTTCCTAACAATCCTCTCATTCTTGTGCTCATATCCTCCATGCAACTTTCCCTCTCAAGGAGAATTCTGACTATAACATAATTATATATCCAATTCCTTGTTCATCATATAAGGATTTTCAATTTACAATGCAAGATAATTATCAGTAAAACCTATCAACACAGAAATGTAAGAAAAAATACAGCTCAATTTCTCTCAACAACTAGCAGTGGGAGGAACTAGTAAATGCGTTAGGAGTGAATTCAGACACATGATTCTATCCAGTAAACACACCACGCTTCCTCCTAGGGCTTTGTGGTTATCCTGTCCTCCATTTTATCTTCACAACAGTGTGAACTTGGTTAGCAGGACAGGGAAGATGCGGCCACCGAACGAGCCTCATAGCTGAGTGGGGAGCTGAACCAGGGTCAAGCCAGGCCAAAGGGCATCCAACCCAAGCACCCAAAAGACCCAACATGGTTCTTCATGGCTTCTCTGCCTCAGAAAAAGGAGGAAATAGTGAGAGCCTGGGTCAAGAAGACCAAACTCTGTGAGGAAAGGCTGGAGAAGAGGAGGCTGAGGGGAGACATGATTGCTCTCTTGAAGTATTTTAAGGGCTGTCACTTAGAGGAGGGCAGGGAGCTGTTCCTGTTGGCAGCAGAGGATAGGACTCACAATAATCAGTTTAAATTAAGGGCGGGAAATTAAGGGCTGGATATTAGGGAAAACCTTTTTACAGTAAGAGTTGTGCACCAGTGGAATCAGCTGCCTAACGAGGTGGCGAGCTCCCCCTCACTGGCGGTTTTTAAACAGTCGCTGGACAAACCCTTGCCAGGGATGCTCTCGGCTGATCCTGCATTGAGCAGGGGGGGTGGACTACATGGCTTGTATGGCCCCTTCCAACTCTGTGGTTCCATGATTCTATGATTCTAAGTATTTCAGGGGGGCTGATCCACTCCAACCCCGAATTAAAGAACATGTTACTGTACAAAGAACTGTAGGGTATTTGATAAGATAAATAATGGTTTCTGGAATTGTTTCCAAAATTGCCTGGGCTAGGGGAGGACGGGGTTGATACCTATTATCACTGACCACCATAAAATATGGGGGGGGGGATAGGGAAAGGACCTTTTTGAGAGGTGGTGAACAATGTCAAACCAGGACTTATCCCCGAGTGCCATGAATTTCCCAAAGTACTGAGCAATGAAAATCTTGGCTACTGTAGCAGACAGCCCAGCTGGCAGTTGTTTTTTTTCCTCCAGAGTGATGTGCCGATCATGCTCCTCCAGGCAAATCATTGTTATCGAGCATTCTGTCATCTCCCAGGTTTAACAAGCAGCCACGTCACCCAAGAAAGACAAGCCCTGATACTGCAGCCAGCTCTTCTGAAATATAAGCTCCTTCCTCCAGCAACTGGACTAGAGTTAACATCCCTTCCAACATCAAGGAGATGCAGCTGGTCTGATGCACACTTGACTCTTGCAGCGTAGCTTGCTGCTTTCATAGGCTGGGCTCCCACATCGCTGGGAACATCCATACCACAACCACCTCGAAACCAGGATCATGAGTATAAATTGCCCCAGTGAGGAGCAGAAAGTGTGGCAATGGAAAATGCTGTCAAGTCTCAGCCAACTTATGGTGACCCCCATATGGCAGAAGACAAACCGAGGTGGTTTGCCATTGCCTACCTCTCTGAGTAGTGACCCTGGACTTCCTTGGTGGCTTCTGAGAACTGACAAGCCTGGGCCAGCCAGGTCTGGTTAGCAGAAAACTCTGAGCTCCTTGTCAGAAGGGTAGGGTAAAAAAAAAATGCACTCAGAGCAGTGTACATGGTTCTCCCATTACATCCTCACTACAACCCTGTGAGGTAGGCTGAGAGAGAATACCTGCCACACAGTTTCCCAAGTGAGTCTCGTGGCAGGTGGGGATTTGAACCCAACTTTATTCTGCTCTAGGCCAACGGGCTGACTGCTACACCATACTGGTTCTCTCAGCATCTGGGCAACCCGTGACACAGAAGTTCAGCCATAACTGAAATGACACAGGGGTCAGTCATGGGACAATAGTAATCACACTACAAAGGCAACATTTGAATCAAGCCTTTAATTAGTCATATCCCACCTCCCCCGAAACATCAAGTTTAGAAACTGGCTGTGTACACTGGGTAAGATGCCACCTACAATATTCACACCAATCCTCCGATCTATCAACAATTGGACCAGTAACTCGAGTAAGGAAAGGCTTTCTTTTTTAAAAGGATTTAAAGCATGATGATGAGCACTGACTTATAGGATTTCTAGCCTCAAAGTGGGGCCTGGAAATCTCCCAGAATCACAGCTGATGGCTGCTTTGGAGGGTGAATTCTATGGCATTATACAGCACTGATGTCCCCCCCTCCCCAAACCCCACTCTCCCCAGGTTCCACCTACAAATCTCCAGGATCTTCCAACCCAGAGATGGCATCCCTACTTATGAAAAAAGAAAAGGTCAAAGGACATGCCTGATTTGCATTACATCTTGCTTCCAGTCATGCGGCTAATCAAACAGGATCAGCTAGATCCAGCAAGGTTGCCTGTAGGCAAGCTTATCCTTGTCGTGGTCTACCATCAAATACCTGTGGTGTCTTGGCTGCATCTACTCCAATCAGCAGCATGGCCAAATGGTTTTGACGGACAGATAGAGCTCAGCTCCCCATCTCAGGGACTTGCCATCCCTGGTATTGCATGCTTAGTGGAGCGGTAAATCTCTTCTCATCTCTAACCCAGGCAACAGACCATCAGTGGAGCCTGGCTCTACAATCCATTCCCTCTGCGAGAGCAGCTTTCACACATGAGAGTTCTTCCACTGAGAAGGTTATTTTAAGACAAAAAAATGTGTAAGGGGTGGAAATCATATACATAATGTGAAGGAGGATTCTGGTGGGTAGCCGTGTTGGTTTAAAGCAGTAGAACAAAGTTGGAGTTCAGTGACACCTTTAAGACCAACGAAGTTTTATTCAAGAAATGAGCTTTCATGTGCATGCACACTGTTATCTGAAGAAGAGTGCATACATACACAAGCTTATACTTTGAATAAAACTTTGTTGGTCTTAAAGGTGCCACTGGACTCCAACTTTGTGCTACTCTGAAGGAGCCATTGCACTATATTCATCATTAAGTGAAGTGTGAAGCCTTCCTCTATCCTAAGCAGCTCTTGGAGGAGGATCAAAAACATGTAATACATTTTATTAGGACCAACTAAACTGACACAAAACATTGTGTAAGCTTTGGAGCTCACCAGAACTCTTATCAGGCTGAACCTTCTCAGTGGAAGAACTCTCATGTGTGAAGCTTAGACGGCTAGAGAGACAGTGGCGATGTGCTCGCGACAGAGTGACAACAGCATCCTATAGGACGTTCATGAGATCCTATGAGACTGTAGCCAAGGCCGCTAAAAGGGAATATTATGCGGCCACGATTGCATCTGCGAGCTCTCGCCCAGCCCAATTATTCAGAACAATTTGGTCTTTGACTACACTGCCACAGGGCAGATCAAACGATAGGAAATTGGAGATTGGCTGTGAGGCATTTGCGAGCTATTCCGCTGAAAAAGTCTTGTTGCTCCGCCACAACCTCCCTGCCACAGTTGAGACAGTAACGGAACTCGAGGCTCCATGCACGTCTGGTCCCATTCTGGATTATTTCGGTCCACTCAGTCTAGAGGAGGTTGACAGGTTACTCTCATCTGTTCGCCCGGCCACTTGCAGCCTTGATCCGTGCCCATCGTGGCTGGTTAAAGCCAGTCGTGATGGGCTACGAGGTGCGCTAAGGGAGATCATCAATAAGTCCCTCGTTGAGGCTCTGTTCCCTAGCGTGTTAAAGGAGGCAGTGGTCTGCCCTCTCCTTAAAAAACCATCCCTGGATCTGGCTGAATTAGCTAATTACCGGCCAGTATCCAATTTGCCCTATTTGGGCAAATTGATTGAGAGGGCAGTGGCGGCTCAGCTGCAGGGTTTCTTGGATGATGCCTCCGTGTTAGATCCCTGTTTCTGATTGCCCGGAGGCATGGGCTGGGCTGTCACCAGTATGCGGATGACACCCAGCTGGTGCAGAATGCAGCGAGGCTGTTGCTGTGTCTTCCTGTGCGGGAACACATCCAGCCCACACTAAAAGCTCTGCACTGGCTGCCAATAGCATACTGGATTCGGTTCAAGGTGGTGGTTTTGACCTTTAAAGCCCTATATGGTCAGGGACCTGCTTACCTGATGGACCGCCTTTCTCCACATGTTCCCCAGAGGGCACTAAGATCTGGATCCCAATACTGCCTGGCCCTTCCGGGCCCTAAAGAAGCCAGGCTAGTGGTGACGAGGGCCAGGGCCGCTTCTGTGGTGGCCCCGCACTGGTGCAATGAGCTCCTGGAGGACACCAGGGCCCTGTGGGACCTTCTGCAGTTCTGCAGGAACTGTAAAACGGAGCTCTTCCACCAGGCTTTTGATTAGGGGTCCGTCGTTGTGTCCCTGGCCCTAACATCAGCACTAAAGTAACATCAGCACCAAAGTAATATCTGATAGCCTGGCAAGGAACCTGGAACATAGTGATTGTTATATCTGAATGCTGAAAGAATGCCATCATTGCTTA